CTATAGCAACTGGAACTTCTGGATTTGGATTGTATAGCCTATTTGCAAATGGTGTAACATGTCTTTCCATATACTCTTGCCGTGTTATTACTTGAAATCCTATATTTTCTGGTACAAATCTTTGCATCAAAGATAAGCGTACGTTACTAACCACCATGCTTACACACTGCCTCGTAGGATAATTAAAAATGGCTTTTAAAAAATGATCAGACAGACCTTGTTTTATTTTACATAGAAATGTAAGTAAATCTTTTTCTGACACAAAACGGCGTTGATTTTGGCTAAAAATATTATCACAATATCTGTATAGATCTCTAAACTGATTTTTTGTTATTGGAGATATTGACTTAAATTCATCGTCTGAAAAACTGTCGATATCACAAAACTGCCATTTTTCTTGCTTACTGGTAACGCGCAATTCTTGTAAAAATAGCGCTAACTGGCCACCTTTTATTTTGTAAGGTCTGTTAACAAATTCTAAACCAGGTAGGAATTGTCTAAATATATGATCATTTTCATCTAAATGGTGTTGGCAGACTCTTACACTTTCGGGAACGTAGATATTAACAGTAATAAAAATATGAACCCTGCATTTAATTGAAAGCCGAGTTAAGTTTTCATTATTATTGCAAAGTACGCAAGTAGTGTTTAAAGTTTGTTGCAATACATTTAAACGTAAACATGTTGGATCATTTTCCACGTTTCGAAGTTCATCTACAATTGTTCTATTGCAGTTAAGACATATTCTACTTATTTGTCTAATAGGAGCTGGTAGTAGACCGAATGCTTCCCTTCTTGTTTGTATAATTTCGTTTTTAGCATTGTTATTGTCGTCATTAATTATTCGGACCATATTTCGTATATTCATTCTCTGGTTACACGTGTAACAAACATTTCGGTTTAGGTTCTCATTCATTTTTGCGGACTTTAGATATATGCTAAAAACAATTATAACTAGTTACGCAGGTGTTACGTAAAGGTTTAAAAAACTTACCTTTTATACAATATGTCACAAATAAAACTATTTAAAGTGGAAAACAAATAGAAACCAAAAAATCATTAAGAAATAAGATTAACTAATAACGACCCGTTTGTATTTTTAAATCACTAATGGTACCGTGTTAGAGTTTGACAGCTTACTATTTTGATTTCTTTTTTATCCAAAGGCAACTAGATAAATATTGCTATTTTCTTTTAATATTTATGTCAACATTATCCTTCTTGAATTTGCTAAGGTTGGCGGTCTTGCAGTATTTATCTTGTATTTCCATGATCCACCGTACACATATAATATTTTAATTCTTAATGATTGGTTGGTCTCTTCGTTTTTCCATTATAAAAATATTTGGATGGTTAAGTTTTATTTGTAATATGTTTTATGAAAGGTAAATGATTTTAACGTTTTTATTACGTCAGTAACTAGTTACGCTTTAGATTTTAGCATATATCTAATCCAGAAAAAAATTAATGAAAACCTAAACAGAAATGTTTGTTACAGGTGTAACCATACAGGGTCCGACAAACCTCTGTCGTAGCTCTATAACTCCCTTATTTAAAAACTTGCAAGAAAAAATGTATACATAAGTTATAAGGTATTCTGAGCTGCACATTTTAAAATTATTTTGAAATTATTTTGAATTATTACAAGGTGACAACATAAAGTTATATTTTTTAAGTACGATACCCTGTATATTATTTCACGTTTTAGTTCTTTGTAATGAACGGAATTCAACGATGTAGAACATTTGTCTTCTGAATTGAATAATGTAAGAGCTATAAACAATTGAAAATCGGATTCTTATACTTTTAGACACTTGCTGTGTGAAAACGGTTCAAAGGCGAAGAAAATGGCTTGCATGTCCATGTCCTAACTTTTCATATACTGTATGATACAATAAAAAAAAATTGTATGCAGGGGTGGTCAAAAATCCGAATTATTTACAACTCTGTATCATTATTTTGCGAAAATCATTGGATAATATTTAAAAAGTTAAAATAGGGACATGTAATCCATTTTAGTTGATTTTGAATCGATTTCATATAACAATTGCCCAAAGTTGAAAAAATCCAATTTTCAACTGTTTATAACTCTTCAATTATTCACTCCAGAGTAAAAGTATACTATACCGTTGAATTCGGTTCGTCACAACGAATGAAAATGTGAAATAATATATAGGGCATCCTATTTAAAAAACAACTATATGATATCACCTTCTAATGATGCCCCCTATATATTTCAAAATAATTCTAACCCCCCATCGACGTGCTCGTCGTCAGTATTAAAATTATTTTTTTACTAAAATGCATACCGAGAAACAAAAATACTAAAAATATCTTATAAATATTCAACTTTCCGTACCATTTAAAATTGTTCACCCTGTAGAGTTGCCATATTTTAGACTTAATAACAGTAACTATATCCATTTAAGGCATGCATGCTGTTTTTGTTTTAAATTATGCTCTTTTTTGATTATAAGGACAATTTGAAAAGTAGTGCACATATAGCAAGCCCCCTTTTACGTACACTTATGAGTGACCCTAGCTCCGAAACGGCTCGTGGACCCCGCCAATTTTTCTTCACAAATTCAATAAAGATGTTGAGGACTACAACATATATAAAATTGAGACATTTTTACCGAAACCTTTTTTCAGTGCTTTAAGTGCGGTGTCATTTGCTAATAAGGCAAGAACATTTGAATTTATTTCACGCAGGGCCACAAAATACTTTAGCTAATTTAAGGTTAAAATTTTGACTAATTCATGGATTACAACAGGTAAAAAAGGAACTGAAAAATTGCGTAACCTGTCACAGGTTTAGGGCTGTTGGTGCAAATCAACTAATGGCACCCCTTTCAAATGATAGAATTTTGGATTGTCTTTCTTTTTCAAAAATAGGTGTTGATTTTGGGAGGGGGGGGGCATTTTTTGTTAAAGAATCTAGATTAAAAAAATTAGTAACTAGCAAGTCATACATTGCATTATTTGTATGCTTTATTATACGAGCAATACATTTAGAACTAGTTTCCGATTTGAGTCGCAGCATATTTTTAAGTACAAATTCAACTGTCTAGGTTGTTATTGCTAAGCGCTATGAAATAGCGATGGAGCATAAAGTTCTTGACATCGAAAAATGTATTATACTATTTTCTTAATATACAGTCAAACATAAATTGCGCATCATATGGGATTTTTCTTTTCTAAATAATGTAGATAAAGTTTGACTTTACCATCGTTTGTTGCTTCAAAAATGATAACGAATAACAAATTTCGAAAAGTGAAGGTATTTTTCAAAATTTCGAAAACTGCTCAAAAAAAGTTAGTTATATTTTACCAATATAGATACGAATTTTCGAATTTTTCTTTTTTTATTTTTTTCACACCCAAAACTTGCTATATGGGTCAAAAATTAAGAAATAAACTTTTTGTCAAGGCATTTCTCGAAATGTTGAAAAATAATGCAATTTTTGCATTTTTTTGGGAAAAAATGTCAATTTTGACATTTACAAAAGTCACGTGATTGTCCATTTGCAAGTTATTCATTATCATTTATAAGGCAACAAAAGATGACAATGTCAAAATTAATCTACAGCATTTAAAATAAATCCCATATAATACGCACCTTATGTATGACACTGTATATACCTCAGTATAATACACTCTTCTAGATCCATATTTCAGTTAAAATAATTTGACAATGACTAACGATTACGTACGACAATAAATGAAGAGTATTTTGTTACCTTGTTATTAATATTCAACGACTCTAACGATGATATACAACAACGAACGAAGATCCGACAGAAAACGACAATGACTAACGAAGACTTACGACCACGAATGAAGAGTATTGTTATTAATATGGGCAACGACGATACGACATTTAGCTTATTCTCAATACAAAACCCATAGCCTTTTTTGCTTCCCCTTCGTATCATTTTGACAGCTGCAACGCATTGTTGACAACATTCTCCTCGATGGAATGACAATTGAGTTTCTATGACTTTATCCGTCTACCTGACCATATGTTTGCCTCCTCCTTCCATCTGTCTGCCCTTTCGTTTGTCTAACCATCTGTATATCCGTATATGCGTCTGTCTATCTGTCTGTTACGTCAATCTGTCTGTTACGTCAATCTGTCTGTTACGTCAATCTGTCTGTTACGTCAATCTGTCCGTTAGATGTCTACCTAAAGTCGTTTTGGCAATGTTAGATTTATTTCAATGACATGCAATTTGACCCCGTTTGAATGGTAGCAAAGCTTTGTGTCTCATTACGTCACTTTTTCAGTTTCTCCAGAGGCTTACGTCTTCACCCCTCCTCCATCTCCTCCACAAATGAGAGGTTAGATTAGGTTGACAGTTGACATGAGTCATCAGTTCAATGTCTTTTATCCCGTTTAAATCGGATCAATAGTAACGGCTTATACCCTGGCTTCGCCACTGCGCTTCAACGTTTTTCTACATGTACTTCCCCCACTCCCCTCACTTGGCCTCCCTCCGACTTTGAGTTTCTAGAGGCTAAGGTTAGTTGACTTTTCGTATATGACACATGATGATATCTCCCCTTCCCCATCCTTAGGTAAGTATTTTCTAAAACCATGATCCATGAACTTATCAGGTTTTATTTATTTATGAAGTTCACCCAATTACGTTAATACTTACTCCAGATAAATCTGTGTTTGACTAATTAACAATATTTAAAACGTAATAATATTTTTAATATTTTCAAAATTTTACCCTGTATTATTTATATAGACTAAAAATATTATAGTTCGTTGAAGTCAGTTTATTAGGGAGCTTTCAAAAATATAAAATGATATGGGGTGTTTCATTAAAAAAAAAAAAAAATACCGACAGTATTAGACTTACATGAATCGCCTTGTATATTTATATTTTCGTTCGGAGAACGTACAATTTAATTTAAAAATATTTATTCGATTAGTGTATATTATCAATATCAATAAACATTGTTATTATTATTGATCAAGATGACTTTTGTAGAAATTGGACACGCAGCGGAATTTATGTCAGCAATAAATAGACTTAACAAAGTATTAAATGCCGAAGAAGTACCAACTGCTGAAATAGAGTGTTCTAAGAAGGGCCATCCAAAAATTGAGCTACATAACGTTACCATTAGTATGAAAGAAGAGAGGATTTTGAAAAACATATCATTTAAACTTAAACCTGGATTAACTTCGATAACTGGACCTGTCGGATCTGGAAAAAGTACTTTATTGAAAACCATTTTATACAATTTTCCAATTACTGATGGACATTTGACAATAATGGGTGATATTTCTTACGCTTCACAAGATCCTTGGTTATTTGAATCGTCTATTAAACAAAATATTTTGTTTGGAGAAGAATTTAATCCAAACAGGTAATATTCGTTTATGCCATGTATACTAAAAAATTTCAAAATAGTTATGATATTTTTTATGAGATAAGGGTGGACATTTTTAAGTGGATTACCAAACAATAAAAAACGATAGATACGGTACTGGTGTAATTTGGATTGGTTTTAATATTGGATGATAAGCACTAGATAAGAACCTCATACTCTGTTGTATGGTAAATGTTTTATTTCATCATCTTGGGGCATATAATCTGTCTTTAGGACATTTTAAGAAATAATTGTTGTTGTTGTTGTTGTTGTTGTTTGTTGTTGTTGTTGTTGTTGTTGTTTTTGTTGTTGTAGTTGTTGTTGTTTGTTGTTGTTGTGGTTGTTGTTAGTGTTGTTGTTGTTTTTGTTGTTGTTGTTTACGAATCAAATCGAATCCGTCAGGTAGAATTTTTACCAACAAAACTGCATCCCGGGTACAATGAAACTATATCCGCGGTGCACATTTTATTACTAATACAATTCCACGAAAATTTAACCAGTGTTGTCAAATGTAATTTTTGAAATTAGGTTCCTACCTACAAAGTAAAAGAAACATACATAAAAGGTACTTTATTGAACCCTTACCAGAAAAATGTTAGAAAATGAGACATGCATATAACAGAATTATTGGAATATATATTTTTATATCTTGGTTATTCCCATAATAATTAACATAGTAATAATTGTTGTTTTGTGATGAGGTTATTTGGATAAAACTAAATTAAATTACCAAATGGACTTTTAATTAGCTAAAGTTCCAGTTATAAACGGATTGTCTATGGGGTGGGATTTTAAAAATGCCAAGGAAAGACCAGTATAATATCGCCAAATATTATTAATTTTAGTTCGTCTTTGTATTTGTGTTGTGTTTTGTGCAGTTTTTAGTAATGGAAGCAACATTTTGTTTAAGTGAGAGAGGCATGTCATTATTGGTAATTCATGGCTATACATTTAGTTTTCAAAAAATGTTGGCCAATAAAACAGTAAAACGATGGCAATGCAGTAATCAAACATGTAAAGCATTTGTGAAAACCCAAGGATCTGACAATACAATAGTGCAATCAGTTTTGGATCACAATCATAAAAAGTTATCCGATTAAGTTTTTAACAGTAATGAGTAATTCAGTTGAGCGTAAATCTGTAAATTACATTTACTTTTAAATCATTTTCATATACACTTTACACTATTTCTCTTTACTTCTCTTTACTCTTTATTTCTCTTTACTGTTTAGTTCATTATTCAATAAAATAATTTTATATTCATCTTCATTATAAATTATTATTTTCATACATAATACTTCATTTATTATCCATCTACTGAAACTAATAACTATCCTGTATATACGACAGACGAAAGTAAACTAGACGCAAAAATAATCCCTTTACCTGTATTTTTAAAAAGGTCTATATTCTTTGCATGTAAATTGGGCGCTGGATTTTCTTTAACTTCCTGCCTGCATGAGATAATTAATACTTAATGTAATCTAGACTAAATCCCAAAATTAATGTTCTTTACTTGCTCAGGTCAATTAGATTTATAATTTAGTTCATTTCTACTGTTGATAACGTGCAGGTGGAATATGTCATTAAAAGTGAACGTGAGAGTGACTTAATTTCTTCTGTTTCTTTTCTTCTGTTTCTTCTGTTTCTTCTGTTTCTTCTGTTTCTTCTGTTTCTTCTGTTTTTTCTGTTTCTTCTCTTTCTTCTGTTTCTTCTGTTTCTTCTGTTTCTTCTGTTTCTTCTGTTTCTTCTGTTTCTTCTGTTTCTTCTGTTTCTTCTGTTTCTTCTGTTTCTTCTGTTTCTTCTATTTCTTCTGTTTCTTCTGTTTCTTCTGTTTCTTCTGTTTCTTCTGTTTCTTCTGTTTCTTCTGTTTCTTCTGTTTCTTCTGTTTCTTCTGTTTCTTCTGTTTCTTCTGTATTAATAACGAAGTTAGCGGAGGGTGGAATTTATCGAGAGGCATTCTGTATACTAAAAAAAATTATAGTATTGTCAGATTAAACGTAAGAGCGATTGTGCCCAACTTTTTACGAATCTCTGTCACATTGTGGAACGGTGCTCGATAATAAAATATCTCCCGAGTTAATGTTTAATATAAAAAAAAATATTAGTAGCTTTAGTTTTGTTAGTTCAAATTTAGTAGTTTAAAATTTAAATTTTTTTCCACTAGGCATGCCTGAAGATGAAATAAATTATAACTTGGAAAGGATATATTTTTCTTTGCCTTAAAAAACTCACTCACACGTGGCTACCCCTAGTATTAAAGATAATTTAATACAATACGTAATTGTAATTTAAAATACAAATAATATATTTTCCCCCGACAGGTACCAAGAAGTTCTAAGAGTATGCGCTTTAGAATACGACTTCAGCCTATTTAGTGATGGTGATGAAACAATTTTATCAGATAATGGTCTCAATTTAAGCAAAGGACAACAAGCTAGAGTAAATCTAGCAAGAGCCGTCTACAGAAATTGCGATATCTACCTTCTAGATGATTCCCTGACGTCTCTAGATAATCACGTATCTGAATTTATTTTCGAAGAATGCATTAAGAAATTTTTAAGAGGGAAGTTTTGCATATTGGTCACCCAAACCGAACGTCATTTAAAAGAAGCCGATCGCATATTGGTAGTAAAAAAAGGTGAAATTGATAAAATTATAGACCCTTCTAGAGATTACAAAAACGTCAATAATGAAATAAACAAAATCAGTGAAAATATTAACGAAATTAAGTCAAAAATTGATGAAAATGACGAAGTCTCCTCTGAAACACAAAAGTTATTAGAAACCGAACAAAATTTAAAAAGGAAAGATGTGTTTGAAGAAACTCTCAAAAAGGGAAGTGTTTCTATTAAAAATTATAAAAAATATATAACTTTTGGTGGAGGAATATTGGTTATCTTAATTTATTGTATTGTTAGCGGATTTAACCAGTTTGCATCGAGTTATTCGGATAAACTGTTGACTAAATGGTAAGTTTTTTTTATATTTTTTAAACGTGGAGGTTTTAATATTTAGTAAAGCATTGGAAATATACAAAAAAAACTAAAATAAAATAGTTCATATTCAACGCCCTGTATCCAAATGGTTGGTGATGGGGAACCGCGCATTAGTAATTTTCGATCAGGAGATCGATATCACGGAGTACATACAGAAGATCAACTTCATGTGGAAGGGGAAAGCACGCGCTGCTACTCTGACGCACCGGTAAATACGCCTTCGCGAGGAGAAACCAGAATCGTATTTAAAAATTGTACAGGCATCGCATCCTAATTTGTCAGTAGTGGTGTAAAGTTTGCGCACTTCTGACACGCCTTCAAACGATTTTAATGGCTACTATTAAAGCTCAGTAGCGTACACTATTTTCGCTTAAAATAAATTTTCTAGGATTTTTTAAAACGGTCACCGTCAGATGAATCACAAAATTTTACGAAAATTACCTAAAATTTTAATCCTTAATAACGGTCAAATCGAGTCCGCCCTCGTTTCTAAGAATGTTTTATCAACAGTTGCTATCATTTGTTGGTATTATAGGAAAAACCAGAGTACCTGCACAATGGATCAAACGCAATTATGTAAATAGGTTTTTAAGTACTACGGAATTTGTTAAAATTTATTTATCTATGAGCTAAAATGTATTCTGTTGAAAAAATTTATAGGGTGAAAAAAAATGGTGATTTTGCACTTGACATCTCTAATATTTTAACAAAATGTGAGGGTGAAGTAGAAGTGGCGAAAGTCATCAGCATACAAATATTAAAATAAGACAACGAGGATTTTTTATTCCTTGTTGCTATAACTACTATCAAACAAAGTAAATATAAACAAATTAACAGAGTTCTAAAAAATCGTCATCAAAATCATCATTATCACTAGAACTATCACTGCTGTGTTCATTTACATTAATATTAACTGTAGGAATTACAACGTCATCCATCTAAATATTTATCTTCGACAGCTACTACATGTACTCTTCTTTTTTTCCAGTCTTTGGTTACTGATTTAAATTCAATTTCAGCTAACATTTGTACATGTGCTAATTTTAAATTAATATTCTTTATAGCAGCATTATTTTTTTACTACAGTCCAGATCATTTCTATTGGATTTAAGTCTGTGTAGTATGGTGGTAATCTTAAAACTGTATGGCCGTGTTCGGAGAATAATCCATCAAATTTGTATTGCTTGAATCTATTTTTATGCTGTTTGATTAATGTGTACAGCTGTGGTCGTAATAAGGAAGGTTGAAATATTGTTGGACGTCAACCAGTTTATCATTTCAGCTTTTCTTGAATTTGAATTCGGAGCAGGATTTTCTATAACATTGTGATACGCTGCATTATCCACAACTACAATAGCATTTGGTAGTAAATTTGGTATTAACAGTTCTCTTAGCCACTTTTCATAATTTTCTTGATTCATATCAATATGATAATCACCAGATTTGGTTCCAGGCATAAACATTAATAAACTGTTAGGAATAAAACCCATGTTACCACCAGCATAAACTATAGTAAGTCTTTTTCCTCTCGAAATGGTGGAAAACAAACCTTTTGTATTATCATCACCCCAATTATGTGATGTATGGTCACTATGTATGTAAGTAAGTTTCATCAATATATACAATGGGACGGTTTCGAGAACGAAAATATCTAATTTTTTTAATATAATCTTTTTTTTCCCTGATGTCAAACCGTTCTATTAGAACCTGTCTGTTATTTCGCGTTTTCGCCACTTAAACCAAATTTTTTTTAAATAGTTCTTAATGATGTGTAGCTCCCTTTCCACTCAATTTCCTTTTTTAATTTTTCACTAAGAGTTTTGACTGTTACGTGCATACCTTCTGTTTCGTGAAATCTATAAACTATATCTCTGATTGTTCCAATATTGTAGGATGGAATATCTGTTACACTTGATGTTCTTTTGTGCTTACAATTGTTTAGGTATGGTCGACGTAGACTTTTCACTTTTTGATATCTGGTCACCTTCTATAATTATTCGTTCAATTGTTCTTACTGAGTATCCTGTAGCTTCAGCAACTTGTTTTTTAATTTCAGTGAGAGTTTTGGGATCATCATTCACAACACATTGTCTATAAGTTTCACTATCATTGTTTTTTTTTTCAAAACTATTTGTTGTCGGGGAACATGTTTTTTCATAAAATATTCGAATAGATGTACTATTATTTCCTTTGCTTGACTACCTAAATGTTTTGGCATTTTAAAACAAGTAAGTCACTACTCAAAAGAAAACATTACAAACAAATAAAAATAAAATATAACTCAAAATCTGCACGCTACACAAATAAACACAAATTCAAGAAAATATTTTCATCTACTGATCGCCCCCGACAACACGGCTATTGTTTGCATCTCTTTCAACAGTTACAGTAGGCGTTGACAATTGAATAAGATCCGTACGTAAAATAATTAAAATGAATTAAATAAGTAAGTAAATTGTTATTTGTTTATAAATACCGCTCTCAATCACAAATTATTTTTAAGAATATTTCCAAATTAATAATTTATCTTTATTATCATTTACTTTTAATGTCTATTAATGTGTACTCAACAATAAAGGCGCTCGATTACAAATCAAAATATAAAAATAAAACAAAAATACGAAGATTAAAAAATTATTTTTAAGAATTTTCCCAAATTAATAATTTATGCTTATTATCATTAACTTTTTATTTCTATTGATATATTTTAATGTATACTCAAGAATGTAGGTGCTATTGGTTTTACAGATTCCTTGATTCTAATGTCTTCTAAAATCTTTATTTTTGTATGGAATTCCAATGGTGCGTTTGTGCTTGATGGAATATCTGAAATTGAGAATCAGAATTTTTTATTTGATCCAACTATTTAAATGCTAATAACAAAAAAAATTGCTTATTTTAACAGTTATAGGGGTCTATTCTGTAACAATTCCTTTATATTTAACGGCCTTTAAAAATATTTTCTTCTTTACTTCTGTCATTATTTAAACGGATCTTTGAAATACATTAAAGAACTATCTTAAAGAAATCTGTTTAAGTAATGACAGAAGTAAATTAACGAATATGAAAATATTTTAAAGGCCGCCAATATTTTTAAAGGACTGACAATATAAAGGAATTGTTACAGAATAGGTTCTATTATCCCGTTCACTTTATTTGCTTTAACCCTAAGTGTTTTTTTTTGTTATTTCGAAAACAATATTTTTATAAGAAAGAGATTTGTTCACACAAACTACATTTTTGCTTTATTATAACGATATACGCGTGCGCGTGTGTACGTAATACAATTTCACAGAAAATGGACCAAATATGTCGTCGAGTGGAATGTTTATTTTTGCCACAAAACGCTGTAGTCGAATGTCTGATGAGTGAGATATATCACCCATACTATAGAAGAATATAAATAGAAGATACGATTTTGCATAGTTAGCATATTAAAATAGTTGTTTATATAAAAGTAGTTTATTCAATTAAAAGTAGAGTTCCTAGTTAGCATTCAAACCATTAACATCTATATTTGTTGTATTTCAAGTAAAATAAAAGTTTTAAAAAAATTATTTTCGGTTCTAGATTTCATTTCTGGCGCAGTCAGTAGGATAATTCGGGATTTAGTCGTCGAACGGATCGATTTTTCGTTTTACCGATTAGCCGAATTATGAACTTTTCATTAAAATAACAAAACTGTTAATTAATTATTTTACAAACTGTTGATAATTAATTGTGAAGGTGGTTTAGAAGACTTCAAGACTTGGGGCACACATCGCCCAAATCTACAAGCCAGCAGATCCAGTGACGTTTTTGGGACTAATAAATAATGATAGTTACTCTTTTATTGTAAGTACAATTTATGGCAGATTTTGCTTTTGATGAATTAGAGAAACGATTATTACAACTAAAAATCGATTCACCTTCAACTGATCTTGATTCAGATTCAGATAGTAATCCAACAGTAGCAACTAATTTACAACTAGTAACCAATACTTTACAAGAACAAGAAGTAACAAATAATTTACAAGGAACCAATAATTTACAAGAATGAAATATGACTTTCAAACCTGAATTTCTTAATTGTATACCTAAGTTCGATGATAATCCTAATGATTTAAGTATATATTTAGCAGTGAGTGAATATTTGCATACACAATTTTATGATAGAGAACATCCTGAATATTTTCAAAATACATATTTATTGAATTCAATTATTATGTTAAGACAAAATCAAAATGAATCAGCACAAAATTATTACGACAGATGTTTACATATTTTAAATTTATTACGAAGTAACAGACGCAGCAAAACATTTTAAACGAGAATTATATCAAAATTTAACATTAAAAACATATTTGTCAGGATTAAAAGAGCCCTTAGGGACAACCATAAGATGCATAAAGCCAACCACACTTAGTGAGGCTTTGCAATTTGTTTTGGAAGACGGTAATGCTTATTATTTGCAAAATTCTTCTCGCAATTTTCAAAATCAAAATTCTTCTCGCAATTTCCAAAATCAAAATTCTCGAAATGTACCAGTAGAAAATACATTCAGAAATTTTTTAAGACCTAATCCCAATCAAAGATTAAATTTCCAATATAATAACAATAATTCTGTTCCACCAAATCAAAATAGAAATTTTTCAAATAATTTTAACACACCTAATGATTTTTTTCTACAAACAAATTAATAATTTTCCGTCTCAACCTTTTAATATAAATTCGAGACCCATACAACGTAATTACCCAACTAATGCCCAAGTTTTCGGACAGAATTATCCAAATAGGAATACAAATGTATTCAAACCAAATCAAAAAACACATTTATCAAACCATACACCTATGTCAGTATCAACTAGGAATACTACACAAAATTATTCAAGACCAGGACCTTCAAATTATTTTAGAAATTCAGCGGGTCAGTCACCAAATTTTACCTCCGAAGAGTTAATTAACTCTCAAACAGAACCTACATATAATTCAAT